GTTCTCCCACCTTACAGAATGAAAAGTAATTTACTGTATTACTTCCTAATTTTGATTAAACACTCAAACACGTACCTGTGTATCTGTCATGCTCCTTTTCTGACACTGAATAACCATCTAATTTATTATTCAAATTGAGGCACTTAAGAGAGAAAGAGAGGTCTGTTAATAATTATAAGTGGTACAATAAATATAAACTGGGACTGTCCTAGGTAAACTGGAAATCTGGTTACTTGACTCATGTAGCCATGGGTCATTTTCTCATTTCCATTTAAATGTTTTTTTAAATATCGCTTTTTCTTTGAGGCCTTCATTGACCTCTGTTTAAAATTGCATCACATTCCACAATGCCTTGGTTGATTTATTTTTCCCCATGACGCTACCACCATTGACAGTGTGAGTTTTAGCTAGCTGTTATGTTTGTTATTGATCTCCTTTCTAGAACAAAAACTTCAACAGGACAGGGGTTTTTATTTCTTTGGTTCACTCTGTTGTAACCCCAGTGTCTACAGAGTCCTGAACACCATAGTACATATTTCTTAAACTTTAATGTGTTAGCAGACGGGGGAGTCTTGTTTCTTGAAGAGTCTTTCTCATTATAGTCCTTTTCTTAAATCATTTACCCTGTTCTTTTCTATTTAGTTTGGCAAATCCTTTGGCAGTTGAGACCTTAGAAAAATTTTCTAATGTGCTCTTTCTTATCCCTAAGAGGAACTAATAATGAACAGTACCACGATTCCCTAAACTGGAACTTGAGCTCCCTAGAGAGGGAAGTTTGTATCCTGACTAGCAGAGTTTGCCACATTGTATGTGGGAGGAGAGGGTTTCATATCCTCAGGGAGTCCTGTGTTGGGGCTGACTTGGCAGCATGGTACTGTGAGGGTAAATGCTATGGCCTTGGGGCTGTGCTAGCTTCTGGTTCTGGTATCAGAACCAAAGAACCACTCAGAGGAGAGTATTAGAGAGCTTCTGTTAGCTTGTTTTCTCTTTTCCTTCTGTTAAATCTGTCCTCAGACTGAGGCCCATCCTCATAGGGTGAGGGGAATATTGGGGTTGAGCCTTATTGGCAATCTAAAGGTTTCTCTTCTGAAACAGTTCTAGAAGGAAAGAAAGGGTGAGAGGGGATGAGAAGAGGAAGACCACATATATCTGGTTGAGAGTAGCTATTGGGATCTCACCAACAAATTCTCTGGGAGTCTTAGAATATCTGTACCACTGGGAGTTGCTTTTAGACTTGACAAAGATGAGAGTTACTGTAAAAGAGGGGAGTTTGGGCCGTAGGATCCAAGATACGGGCTACAGTAAGGACAAAAAAGGAAAATACAGTGCCCCATAGGATATCTGTCACTTTGGTTTCCCTGAAGCTTCTTAAATGCTTGTAAATAAGAGCCAAAGCCTTGTGAGTTGGAGACAGGGAAGTAAAACAGGTCTTGGGGACCAGAGGAGACTGTAGCTATTGTGGCTATTGAACAGTCACAGTTCTAAAAGTCAGTAGTGAAGAAATACTAAGAGAGTTTAAGTAAATATAGCCAGGCCTAAAAAGGAAACCTAGAGAAAACTTGTAAGTCTTCATCATTGTTTCAATATTAGTTTGAGCCAAGGAAACTTTGGCAAATGGTTAGGTAGTAGAGAAAGTCACTTTGTAAAACACAAGGAAATTCCCACGGGCATGACCTTAATTCAGAGAGCGCAGTCCTTTGCAATCTGGGGAACATGAACTGAGCCTGCTAGTCACATTTCCCATGAGATACACCTGTCTTTTCACACCTTTGTGCCTTACACCTTTCCGCCAGACTCAAAGCATAACTGTCCAAGGCTTACCTTGAAGTCACCACCTTTAAAGCTTTTTGCAGGACTTGCAGTTGAAATTCATCCCTTTCTTCCTCTCTGGGTTCCTAGTGCCCTTTATTTATAACTCTGGTATAGCAGATTGCTTGGCAAACAAAACTAAACAACAGATACCTGTCTGTGTCCTGGACATGAATGCAAACTCTAAGGGGCAGGACTCCCATTTGTCAGTGTGTTACCTCAGACCTGTTCTGAAGAGGGAAGGAAAGGTGCATCCATTGCCCACCCCAGTCCTGTAGCACCCAGCACATGGAATCTCAGTGACTGCTGTTAGCTAGAATTGACTCTGGGTTAATCAGATGCATGGGTTATGCAGCGGGCTGACCTTATTCTTTCCCTCCCGCTCTGGGCAGTGACCCGCTTTGTGGCTGGTACACTGTGCTCCTGGCTCACTCGTACTTACAGCAGGGGACACTATTTTCTTGGCTCAGTCCTGAGTCCAGCCTTCTCCCTTTGATCTCTGTGTGGCAAGGGGGGGGGGGCGCCCCACCCCCACCATTGTCCTGCCCTGGGAGCTAAGGTTTCTCCTCCCAAACTCAGGCCTACCCCTCACCCTCCCTGTCACATTCTGAGATGTTGCCCAAGGAGTCTGTTATGCAGGGGACCGGCTGGAATGGGAGAAAGGAATAACCTCTCAGCCCTGGAGGGTTCCAGCCAGGACTAGCTGCCTGTTCATTTTTTTTGTTGTCACCCTAGGGATGACAGATGAATTATGATATGAGGGCTTGTAGGTTGTGATCCTAGAAGAGGCTGGATTGTGACTTTGAAATTCTGCTGTTCAGGGAAGTAAATAGGATAGTGGTTTTGTGTGGGGGTGGTGAAGCCAGACTGCATGTATTCTAGTCCTGTTCCAACGGCTTACTAGTTCTGATTAACTGACTCAGCCACATGGGGTCATACCAGTGCCTACCATGTTCATTCATAATTTGTTAGTCAGCTCCTACCAGAGGGAAGGGGTTGTTCTAGGTGCCATAAAAATAGTAGTGAAAATAAAAATGGGTTTATATCTTTAAAGTGCTTAGCACAGTGCCTAGTACATAGTAAGTACTCACTATAACAATATTCTGTTCTCAGTAGTTTTCTGAGACTATTAATTTGGGAGGGATAGCCTTTGGCAGTAGCTGTGAGACAGACAGAAGAAGGGCTAAGGTTAAGTTCTAGATTTGGACCTAGGTTCAGGGCAGCACTAGCTTGAACTGCCTTTCATGTCTAGTACTCATTTTGAAATTAAATGCATGAGCTGGGTAAAGATCACCCTGGAAAATTTGAGTCAGTGTAGTTCCATGGAAGGGCAAGAGGAGATGACCATAGGCTGCTAGACGCTACCTCACCCATTTGTACAGAAAGCATGGGCCCGTGATGCTGTGTACAGATGACCCTACGAGAGGCTGTGTGTCTGAAGCAGTATGAGGGGAGGTCTTAGACACTCAGAGAAGAAGGACTTTGCGGGCTTCTTTACTACTCAGGCTCTCTGCCTATGGAATAGAGGACTTTGGAGGAGGAGTTGGCTTAAGAGTTAAAGAGCTGAACCTAGAAGGAGAGTGAGGTGGACAGAGGAGGCATGGCCTGATAGTTTGCCTTCCAGATCATGCCTCAGGGAGTGTTGCTAGACATGACTAGTGTGATAACTCGTGGTGTGATTACTACTAGAGGCAAAGTTTAGACTCACGACTCTTGAATCATAGACTGTAGTTTCCAGTGAAAGTCCAAGCCTTACTGGTACCTGATATTATATTGCAATAAAAAAAAGAAAGAAAAGAAAATCAAAGTCTGAGATAGTCTTCCTGGAGGTAAGATTGGGTTAGAAGTGAATATCCTATTTCATTTCAATTGATCAGTTCTTCAGCTACTCCTTAGAAAGAGGTAACTGTGGGACCCTGACTATAGGTTAGTAGGCTGAGCACCTACTTCATGCTTGTCACACTCTCTCTCTTCCACCTGCCCACAAGAATGCCCTTACAGCACAGAAAAGGTACCCTTGGCACATGAGATACAGGCCAGTCTCACGGGCCAAGGGTTCTTGGGTTGGTTCCCTTGTGCATTGCTGGCATGGCTGCTCATGGGGACCTGCTAACTTGGCTGAGAACTGTGATGATTAGCATGTGTAGAGACAGATGTAGTAGTTCTGGGCCCGTTCCAAGATTTGAAGTGCAACCAGGTTTGCGTACCTCGCTCTTTCATTTCATTTTTATTGCACATTGTTCAGTCTTCTCCCACTACTTCAGCTCAGTTCCACCAAGTACATGGAACTAGAATGAGGCAAAGTATTTTGCTGTGGATATAAAGGCTCAGTAGGTGCATGTGGTTGGTGGCTACCAAGTTGGACAGTAAAGATACAGGATATTTCCCTTGTTCCAGAAAGTTCTTGTAGATGTCACAGGCCTGAGGGGCTCAACAGTCTAGCTTCCTTGAATAGGGAGGACAGGTGCCTGGCAGAAGGACTCATCTCCCTATTGAGAGGCATAAAGGAAATGTAGAGAGGTCTTACTATGCAGTTCAGGCTGGTCTTGAGCTCACTTTGTAGCCCAGGCTGGTCTCAAACTCGCAACAATTCTCCTACCTCAGCCTCCAGACTGCTAGGATTACAGGCGTGCGCCACCACGCCTGGTGGTATATTATACTTTAAGAGAGTAGCTTTTTTTTTTTTTTTACCTTCAGAAACCAATTTTCACCCTTTTGGGGGAAATATCACCCCATTGGGGGTACACTGATCATAGTAAAACATAATAGAATTACAGTAGGCAGGAAGAACTCAGAATCTTCGTCAACCTTCTTTCCCATGTGTGGAAGTTTCAGAGTAAAATTAGTTAAGATAGTAATCTGCACAGCTCAGCTATAGCTAGGGACAATAACTTTCTAAAATAGGCCTCTGAAAGCTCATCCCTTTGGAAGAAAGAGCTGGGAGACCTGTGGAGCATTTATGGGAAAACATCAGAGACCTCAGGGTTGGAGGACATAGAGGTACACATCTAGAGCTGCCTTTCAGAGGCTTTCCAAGAGGTCTTTATGGTGGTCCTTGTGGGCTTCGCAGTGGAGTTAACTACTTTATGTAAATGTGTTTACAGTTGATGCTAGTTCTGTCAGTGAGATATCAGATCCCTTTTTCCTGTCTAGACAGTATAACCAATGACAGTATCACCTCTCCTCTGTAGAAACTACCGGAGGCATGCGATGTCGGCGACGGAAGGCCCTTTGTCCTGAATCTGCAGAGTCTGTATGTGGCAGTCACCAAACAGGAACTCCAAGTGGGACAGAAGCACCCAGGTGCTGGTAAGAAGTTGCAGATATCCTGCTTTGCCTGGGGTTAAAGTCTGTTCACGCTGTCCTATATGGTAGCTCTAGCCACATGTGGCTATTTAAATTTAAATTAATGAAAAATAATTTATTTCTAAAATTAGAAATCCATTTCCTCATGTGCTCTAGTCACATTTTAAGGGCTCAGTAGGTGCATGTGGTTGGTGGCTACCAAGTTGGACAGTAAAGATACAGGATACTTCCCTTGTTCCAGAAAGTTCTTGTAGATGTCACAGGCTTAGGGAGCTCCAGAGTCTAGCTTCCTCGAATAGGGAGGATAGGTGCCTGGCAGAAGGACTCATCTCCCTACTGAGAGTCATGAAGGGACATGTAGAGAGGCTCTTTGAGTCAAGAGATCTCTCTGCTGAGAATGGGCCTGAGGTATCTACATAGAAACAACGGCTTTCTGAAAATCAGCTCAAAGTTGGATTTGTGGCTTCTTCTGTCTGTTCATTTATTAGTACCAAATTTTGGCCTGTGTCTGAATGCCTGGTAAATGCTAATGTCTTCCTGGTAAGAAAGCATTTCTCACAGTCTTCTCTTGATCTTTCCCATTGCAGGGGATCCTCAGACCACAAGCACTGCCTCCCCTGGAGGAACTGGTAGCCAACTTCTGAGCCAGCCACAACAGCTGGGCTCTTCAGAAGCATGCTCCTCAGCGCTTGAGGAAGAGCCTGCTGTGAGTCACGAGTGGCTTCCTGGATAGAGTGCTGAGCATGGGAGGAGTCAGCACCTATCACCCTCTAGCCAGTGGTCCCTGCAATCGCTGCTCAGTTGATGCTGCGTCGGCAATATTGAGTGATATTTGTGAACAAGCTTCCAAATTGTGGGGAGTCCTGATCTTTCATACATTCAGTTGCTGTCTCCTCTCTGCCATTCTTACACTGAATAATGAGCCTTGAGTCCCTTTTCATCTCATCCCAGTTTCAGTGAAGGCCTGTGAGGTTGTTCCTTGGGGGAGAAGGCATATGTATGTGTATCTCCTGTTCTGGAGTCTTATATCACACTCCCTGACACACACTGCAAAACACCTATGTCAGATACTTCATGGCCTCATGCTAGCCAAGAACTATGACAGAACAAATGTTCCTTTCCTTCTATGAGTGGTTGCGTTTCAAAGCCACTTAACTTGAGTTCTTTTTTTCCTAGGGTACTGCGGGTCTTACACAGAGACCTCAACTCTCAAAGGCCAAGCGGAAGAAGCCAAGGGGGCTCTTCAGCTAATCTGTCATGGTCTCAGCTGCTGGCATGGACCAGAATTGCTTCCAAGCATCACCCGGAAAGGAGCTCCATGGCACAGTATCTCTCGGGCAGACATACTGTCAGGGGCTACCGTCAGGGCAAGAGGACGAAGTTCGTGTCGACAGGCCACCTGAACGGGACTGTTCACCAAGCAAAGCTTGGTTCCAGCCAGCCTGGCCTTCCCTGTCTGAGTGGAAGCTTGTCTCTGGGAGTCCATGCTTTCCTCTCTCTTGGTGGAGGTCCTTCAGACCCGGGCCTGACTTGGGTGTGTACATCCGGTCTGCAAAAAGTACAACATGCTCGGGAAGCCTTGTCTGCCTTTCTCCAGAGTCCCTAGCCAGCCCCAGATACTCCCCAGAGACCCACTTCTCTCTTTGGCACAGAATAAAACCACTTACAATGCCCTGCTTTTGAGATTCTTTATCTCTGGAGCTCATTACCCACCTCACCGCACCGAGTCCTGTTGTTATCCCTAAAGGAAATCTGAACCCACAATCCAGACCTTCAGGTTCTTCTTAACTTCTCTGCTGTGACCTGAGCTACAGCTTCAGAAACTTTGATCTCAAGAGCTCTTCCGTGGTGGCACAAGATAGATGACTCTTTTTTTTTTGCCAAACACGGGTGTGTTTTCTATTTGTTTCTAAGGCATAGGCAACAGGGTGGTTACAATATGGATCAATATGGCAAAGAACTTCATGAATCTACCAAAGTAGATTCCCATGGGTGGCAGAAAAGGAAATTTGACTTTCTTATTTTCTGCTCTACTTCAGATAACATAGTAAGTAGAAGAACTAGGGTGACCCTGTGAGTTCCTGGGACACAGAATTGGCCTGTAGAACTAAATATTCATGCCTAGCAGGAAAAAAAGAATAAAGGCTATGTGAAACAGGCAGAATTTGAGTCACCTTCTGGGCACTCCAGAACTGTCACAGTCCCTCAGTCTGAACCAGAGCTTCCTCTGTAGTAAGACCATCAGGAACTTTATCTTGAGGGATAGGAGTAAAAATAGGACTCAGGTATTCACAGGGAACCAGTAGGTAGAGGAAGAGATCAGGAGCAGAATGCAGAGGACACTGTCCGTGTGTGTACTTTTTATGACCTCCTCATCACTGTATCCTCCCTGGCTGGCACTCATGTTTCAGAACTGATGCTAAGCCGTGCGGAGAGGACCAGCCAATAAATAATAAAGTGCTCATCGTTATAATTAGAACAACAGTAGCTGGGTGCAGTAACACACCTCTAATCCCAGCTCTTTGGGAGGCTGAGAAGAAAGATGGCAAAAAGGGCAGCCTGGGCAACTTAGTGAGACCCTGTCTCAAAAATTTTAACAAAAAAATGGCTGAGGGTGTAGCTCAGTGGGAGAGGCTTGCCTACCATGCATGTGGCCCTGGATTAGATCCCCAGTACTGAAAGGGGATGGAGGGGAGGGATGAGAAAATAAAAACAACACCCAAAACAGAACAATGATAATAAACCACTCTCATTAATGAACAGTTCATGTGTATCAGGTCACCTGTCCAATAAGTGCTTAATGTTGAATCCTCACAGCATTGTCTAAGGAAGATACTGTTAGCCCACTAGGAAGTTGATTGTTCGTGTTCGAGTGACTTATCAAAGGTCACTCAGCTAAGAAGTGACAGCCAGAACTGGAACCCAGACAAATGACTTCTAAAGAGAATGACTACACATATTGCTAAACTGTTGAGTCCTCTTCTAATCTGTGGCACACACCTTTATCCCGTGACCCTGCTCCTTTCGGAAGCTGCTGTCCCCCCCGGGGGGCTCTTCAAGGCAGGAGTCCTCTATGACTCCAAGGCTCACTTCCTTCCCTTTTCCTGCCAGAGAACGCCACCAGGGCTTGTTCCTATTGCTGCTGACCTTTCTTTACCTGCAGGGCACAGTGCCCTGTGTACACCCGGTGAGGGTGGCTGTCATCCAGGAGAACTGGAAACTGTGACAGCAGTCCATTGGCTGACTCACATTGTCCATTCTGGCAAAATTTAGATAGCCAGATTTCAGGGTCTGCATGGCATGGCACTATACAGAAAACAGAAGAGCTTCCCCATCCAGCTTGAAGAAAATGGGGTTCTCCCCTCTGACCTTAAGCAGGAACTTTTAATCAGAGCAACCAGGGGCCTGTGGATCCCCTAAAATGATAAGGAAAATCCTAGCAGCGTAACTTTGCTCATGTTCTCATAAGAGTATGTGACTTTTTCTAAAGGTTAATAATAAACTGGGTATAGTAGCACATGCCTGTAGCCTGTAGTCTTGCACTCTGGAAGGCTGAGGCAGGAAGATTGCAAATTTAAGCCCAGCCTGGGCAACTTAGTGACTTAGTTGAGACTCTGTCTCAAAATTATAAACACAAACAAGGGCTGGGGATATAGCTCAGTTTGAAGGCCCTGGGTTCAATCCTCGGTACTGGGTCATGAGGGTGTGGGCTGGAGTTAGGGTGTCAAGTAAGACTATGACTAGTAACCTTCTTGTCCACCGCAGCCTGTATCCCCGAGGTTGCTCCCTCTGTGGGGTGTTGCCTAAATACATCTCTGGGAAACAGTGCTGCCAGAGGCCCTGCCTGAGGCGTTCTTGCTCTGAAGCCTTCACCCCAAAGCTAGGAGTGGTGGTTGAGAATCATTCATCCCAGGGCAACTCCAGGGAAATCCCTGCTTTGACAAATTGGCCAAGCCAGGCTGTATTCCAGCCCTGCCCCCTGGCTTGGGCCCCTCCTGAAGGCCCCCAGCCCAGCCCAACCCCCACTCCACATGCACATAAAAGGGTCGAATTCTCGTGGCTGCTCCATAAATTTTATTCCGTAAATATTAGTTTTCCCTGTGTTTAATAAAGCAGTGGCCCACCTCCCCGCCTACCCACCCGCTCCCCGGGGCCGGGGCTGGGGCCAGGGCTGGCTGGTGGGAGAAGGGACTCTTTCAATTGCTTTGGAGTATTTTTAGAAAAAAAAATATAAGGTGGTTTACATGAGCAAGCCAGCAAACCAGGAGCAGGACTTCGGACCTCGAGGAAGTCCCTGCAGTGACTTGACCAAAAAGTAGAGAAATAGCGCCACCTAGGTTGCAAGGCCTACTTGGCCTTGCTAGCTAGTCCCCTGGCAGTCAGCTGAGATGGGACAGCCAGCTAGGACCACGGCTGTTTGCTCAGAGAGAAATCCTCAACTCTGCACTTGGGTAGCAGCACCTCCTTATCTTATGCCTTACCAGGTACTTGCCCAGCAGCGCTTAAAAGCAGAGCCTAAGTGGGGTCCTGTAATATCCCTCCAGGGCCATTCTTTTCCGCTGTCACCAGTGTCCCTGATCAAGGATTGTTTCCAAGGCATACACAGACTCCCAAGACCCTAGCTCTGGAATTCCTAGAACATCCAGTGGTGAGGACGGAGGTCTGTGCTCCTGTGCTCTGGACTGGCAGAGCCTTGCTTGGTCAGACCAAGATCCTTCAAAGGCTGCTGCAGGCCACAGACAGCAGACCCTGCGGACAGGAGAGATGCCACCCATCCTGATATTCAGCCCTACTGCTTGTTTTTATCCTGGGGCAACGTGGACTCCTTTCCTTGCTGTTCTTTTAAATCTCCCATTTCCAAACCATTTCCCTAGGCTGGAACTCTTGGGAGAGCTGCAGGAGCCCCTGTGGATGATGTCAGGAGCTGTGCTTCTCTTCTTGTCCTGGATTTGCACCCATTCCTCCACCAGAGTCAGTTTCTTCCCTCCACCTATTTTGTCCCTATGTCCTACTTACAAAGCTAGGAAGATCTGCTCCAAAGAGTACAGGGCACACCTGAATCCTCATAACAACCCTTCTGAGCTTGATCTGATTGCTTACCTTTCAACTGTATGCTATTAATGTAGTCTCTGTTAATAGATACACTTCCTCTGTGCTTTTTTGTTTCTTCCTTTCATGAGGTTATACTCCACGAGAAGAGGGTCAGTTTTTTGTTTTTTTTGTTTGTTTGTTTTTGGTTTTTCTCCGGTACCGGGAACCGAACTCACGACCTTGCGCTTGCCAGGCAGGCGCTTTGCCGCTGAGCTAAATCCCCAGCCCCGAGGGTCAGTTTTTAACCCTAACTTAGAGAATGTCACCATTGTGATGTACAACTTTATGTTACCTCGAATATGTATTTTCTAAGCTTTGATCTGGAGAAACTTGTGTTCTAATTTTCCTGAAGAAACTTTCAAAAGGAGTGACATACTGCAAGGAAGCCTCCAAACTGAGCTCAAGAATGGTTGGTTGCTAATCCCTGTTACAAACATCCATAAATGCATGCCCAGCAAAGTATTGTAGATTATCCTAGGCCCTTAGATACTTGTACTAAGGGACGCACAAGAGGAGGGAGCCCACATGTTGGGGAGTCACTGGTAGCTGTGACTCTCAGAAAGCCCCTACTGCATACTCTGGTCCAGGGCTCTTCCTTGGTCCCTTCCTTGTTCTCCTGGCCAGGGCCTCCAAAAACCACCGCCCCCCCACCAGGGGAAACATCCAGAGAGGGGAGGGTACTGGTAGCTTGTCTGTTTGAGGGACAGGAACTGCAGGGAACCCCTCTCTCCTTGAGAAGCTGGGAGCCCTTCTATCCTTTCATCTCAGAACACTTGGTGGAATGTTTTCCATTCTTTGAGACTTTATAGTGGTCCTTTATGCATCCCTCAGTTCTGAACTCACGTTTCTCTACCCTGGACATGGATGTCATTAGGTAGAACCAGAGTATTCTAGTAAATGGTCTCCTGAGCTGGTAAGTCCCACCCGTGTTTTTCTATCTGGAGCCCAACAGATCTTTTGCCACCTTCCACACCCTTGGACCCCTTTGAATGAGCGCTGGCCTCTGGGCACTCAACTCTCATAGATTCCTGACAATCTGGACCAGCCTACTAGGGGAACCCGGAAGAGGCATTGAAAGAACTCCAGGGTGTGGGGAGCACACTGCCATTGACTCACCTGGGAAGATTGTGCCAGGATTACTTGTCCTGCTGGGCCAAGGGCCAGTAGTTAAAGGAGCATGCAATGCTACACTCTTCCTTCTCTCACTTTGGGGCCCAAGCAGTGGTGGGGCTGGAGCTGGAAAGTAGGGCTTGGGGGCTGCTGGGAGTCCCCCTCTGAAATCTAGGTGTTCTGTTTACTTTTTCATATTGGCAGCTGGAAGGGGAAGCCCATCCCAGCTCAGCATTGTTGTCTAACATAGTTAATCAGATCCTATAATCCTGCTGTGGAAATATTGGGCCTCACTCAAAACAATAGAGACCAAGAATATTGTGGTTAAATTTCAACCAACTGCCTCCCTGGCCTGTTTGCCTAACCCCTACCCCCCTCTCCCGGGCCAGAGTCCTCCCAGCTTTATGGACCCCTGATAGGATCGACGACCGGTCAGAAATCAGTGACAGGAGAGGGGAGAATGGGGTAGGGGTAGG